CATTAACTTGTACTGCTGTTAAAACCGCTTTAACGGGCCGCCGTCTATAGATGTATTGCGGCCCGGAAGTGGTTAAAATATATTATTTATTTTTTAATTTTATTATTCATTTAAATGTTTAAAATAATTTTTCAACTTTTACTTTTTAATTTCAGTTATTTTTTATTCCGCTCGGTACCCTGGAGGTACCGAGCAGAATACCCCAGCCAAATGCCGCTCGGCGGCATTCGGCTATTTACTCACTGCTGTTCGGCCCCTATGAGAATAGGGGGAAACGGCAGCGAGTTAGCTGCCGGAACTTCGGCTCAGCCGATCCAGAGTCTAACTGCTTCTGCACTTCGGCTCAGCCTAACATGCAGAGCATGTTCGGCTGACCGAAGGCAGCCGATGTACGTCTGAAATCAGCCGTACAAGACGGAAGTGAATAGCCAAACAGCTCTCGGCTCACTGCACTTCGGCTGGGTTATTCCTTCAGCTGTGTGAATAACCCCCTTAATTTCATTTTTATACTTGCAAGTTTGCTGAATGTGGCGTTGTGTGCAGATTAAAGCATAATAATTTTATTTGCACATAAGCGCTAAAAGGCTGCAACACTGCTTCCCAGTACTCCCGATATAAAGAGGAGGGACCTGGCAGTCAAAGTTACCTCCCAGATCCATATATTAGAAAAGCAGCTCTCTCAATATAATCTGCTGGGTTCAAGCTGTCAGGTGAGTCTCCATATGAATGGTATGCTTTTATTTTTGGGGTTCACAAACACATTTTAGCAACTACATTGCTTTTAGCAATACCACATACACTAACAAGATGAAAAACCCATCCATCAATATTCATAATTGCCCAGTGCTTTGTAATTTTACAGTGCAAGCTTATATCCAGTGTGTACAAACTGCAGGCAGATGTCTCAGTTTGTTAATTAATTTTAATCATGATTAACTACAATTATTATTCCACAGAAATAAAATGGACCTAGGATGATTACTACTACTCAGCCATAGGTAAGATCAATGTAACCAAATGCACTTTTAGCAAAATAAAATAATAAAAAGCCAGTGTTGCACATGATCATTTTTTATTTGCACTTAGGCTGGCCACAATAGCTACAATCTGTTTCTACAGTCTTGATTGGATATTCATTGAATGGATTGTTTAGGAAATGATCATTCAGGTCAGCTCATTTTTCAGGACAAGCTTTTAAGACTTCTACACTCTTCATTAAGTAAAACCTGCCCTATTACAGAAAGGTCTAACAGAATGTAGAGACAAATTCTACAAGTAAAACATCAGTGAATAAACATTTTATGAACAAGGTCATAAAATTGGGGTAATGGGACTGAAGTGACAAAAACAAATTCATTTACATAATTACAGGCCAGAGCATAACCATTTCACACCTGTGGGACATCATTTCTCCCTGTGGATGAGCTCAGTAATAAAGATTGTACAGTGAGTACAAAAATCCTTTCTTGTAACCAGCCTAGTATAACCCCTCACTGCCAGCATGCCTCCAAAAAGAGTCCAAATGAGGGTTTGGCAACACAGGAGATGAATGCTAACAGGCTGAAGAAAAAAAACAATAGAACTGGGGACTGCCTGCTCAAAAAGCCGCCTAAAGAATCTTATGCCCAAAGCAGAAGCCTGAACATCCACTTAGTAGAGGACCAGGCGGCAGTCTTAAAAATCTGTGTCTGATTGCTCCTCGACAGCGGAGGGTGGAACCTGATCCTTGAGACCATAAGATTAGATAGTGAAATGAGAAGCTAATGCACCCTTTTGGAGACCATCCAGGATGCCAAAAAGGGAAATCAGTCTTTCTAGAAGCGGCAGTGATTGAGCGATAGACTCTCACTGGCCAAACCACATACATACAATGGAGGGAAATGTCCTGGTTGGAGTGAAGGGAATAAACTATGTTAGGCAAGAATGAAGTACAAGATCTCAACACCACTTGGTGTCAACAGGGCTGCAGGTTTAGACACGTACTGTGCAGAGATGATGGCTAAAAGGAATACCACCTTATGGGTGAGAGTAGAGAGAGGAATGTCTCTATTGGAGGTTTCTCAAGTGCAGAGAGAACCAGATTCAGATCAGAGTCACAAAAGATCACAGGGGGAGTTACATTGGGTGACTTCCTGTACAAAGGTCTTAATCAAAGAATGGGAATAGTCTCTAAAACAGTAGTGATAGTACTGAGAGCAAAACACTGATCAAGACCCAGCTGTAGGAAGGAAATGAATCACCCCACACAACATCCTAGGGTTGAGCCCCAAGACTCACAATAAGTGATGTATGCCTTTCACATCCTTGTAAGAAGTAGACTTCCTAGCTTTTAACATTGTGGGAATTATCGATTCAGAGAGGCCTCCATCTTTCAGAGCCTGGTCTTCAACAGCCATGCCATTAAATGGTAAAACAGTCCCCGAGACAGAATATTCATATGATCTGAAAGAGCCCACAGAGCGTCTGCAAGGAGCTTTACCAGGTTGGAGTACCACATCCGCCTAGACCAATCCAAAGCAATGGGGATCACTGGAATGCTCTCCATCTTAATCCTGACAAGTAATGATTTAATAATTCAACTGAAGAGAGTAGATTTAATGATGTGTGTCCAGAAAAATAACGGTATTTATAAAAATTGTAATGTACAGTACTTTTTACCAAGGATGCAGAAAAGGTAGTGTAGAGTTATATGTAAGGAGGTAATGGAACAAATATGCATGCAGGCTTTGGTGCCTGTATGGTTGTAACAATGGACAGTACCTGCTTTTGCTCCACAGAAATTCCCAATTGCTCCAGAAACTGCTCTATATAAGTCACCATAGCACCATAAACAAGTGGACTACGGGCATGCTGAAATCCCTGCAAGGAACAGAAAAGAAAATATACTATTATATTATAGAACACAAGAACCCACCTAAAACACGATTAAAAAAAAAAAATCAGCCACTTTATATTCTCTAGAAAGCCAAGACCAGGTATTTTATCAGGTCTAACATGTGCCTAAAAGGGTTTGGTGTCTTCTGAGAGTTTATGTAAAATATAATAGAATAAATGTATTCAGTATTAAAGTATGACTGGGTCTGTCTTGAGAAGATGCATAAGATTAAACAAATCACCAACCACACATCATAATACATCTAAAAGCCAATAATGACAATTAAATTCATAGTTAAGGCTACTTCTTTTCCCAGAGTGTCTACAATTTGTTAAAGTTATGTATATATGAAATAAAATGAAGCTAGCCTTGTAACTTATAGCTATCCACATTATGAGATATACAGATAGCTGTATATATTAAAAACTCCCAAAAATTATATCCAAATATTTAGTTCAACTAAGCACATAGGATGATGGTTTTAGAGCTAAAAGCAACTCATGGGCTAACCTTAAGCCTGCTGCCATGGACAGCTGCCATCTTTAGATTATATGCTGATGGGTTACCTTGGAAACAGTCTTAAGCTGTCGGTTACCATGGTGAATGAGGTCCATAACGGCATCAACAGCTCGCAGGGTGTCAAAGTCATCTGCAAGTGCTGCCTTAACACTCACTTTTGTTTCATTCAGGCTTTTAACAATGAAGAAAAAAAAACAAAACATGTGCTGTGAGCAAGGCATTGCTTACCGTAACAAAGTATTAATATTGTCACATGCAATAAAGGCATATAACGACAAAACAATACATTCCACAAACACATTTTAAAAGGGGCAGTAAAATATACAGACAATGGGCTGTAAAATGTTGATGTACCCACAGATAAGGATTAAATACAAGTCTTGGATAAGTTATTATAGTTCTATTTCATTAGCTGGATCCCCAAAATGTAATTACCATAGAAACAAGAACTGAATATTATACCATGGGCAGAAGGAGGCATATAATATTTTAAGCTCATTGTAATTTAAGCTTTTAAGCCATATCCATTCTGAAGGAACTATAGGCATGATATATGAATGGTGAACATACTAAAGTGTTTGACATGAAAAGAGAATATTAAAGGTAAAAATATAATGATCTTTTCCATGTACGTATAGTAAGTCATCCCAAGGCAGACACTTATTTTCTGCTAATATGAAAATCACCCACACTTTTGTATTAAAGTTACATTCCATCAACACAATCAATGTATAGTGTAGTGTAATAGCCATTTCATGGCTTCATTCAATTATCCACTGGTTTTTAGAACTATTAGATTTGTTCACTGATTTCAATGTCACCGCCTATTTGCTTTCTTACTGCTTCGTTCACCCAAGAAGAAGCTCATCTCCCTCTGATTAGAGCATACAAAGTGCTTGGGAATCTCTCCTAGTATTACTAGAACACTGGTGCCTGGGTATTGGTCACAACCAGTGCTGCAGCAGCCTCCCGTCATGTTTTTTTAAGTCAATGCTTTGACACTTCTGTGTAGTCTTGCCCAACACAAACTAATTGGCCCATCAGTATGATGGGCTGCATCGCTGGTCAATAAGAATGGCCAGGAAGGTCCAGAAAAGTTTTGGCACTATTATTATTACATAGTATTTATATAGCGCCAACAGTTTGTGCAGCGCTTTACAATATAAGGAAGACATTACAGTTACAATACAATTCAAGACAAGATGGTAAGGAGGGCCCTGCCCCTGAGGGCTTATTAGTCAGCGCCTCAGTGCCAAAGCTATGTTTTTCAGAACAACCCTGCATTTATCTCTGACTGGAGGGTTCGGGAGGCTGTTGCAGCCCCTGGGTGCCTGTATTTCATATCCACAACAGTTCTGAATCCACCCCCCTCCTTCCCACCCAAACACACACACATAACAGTCTGTGCATCTTTTATTAAAAAACACTCAAAAAGTGTAAAAGCCCTCCCTTCTGTCCCTCACACATGGATTCAAACTCACGCCTCTAATGCACATGCGTAAAAAAAAACAACAATAATTGTACCACACATATTAGGTATTGCCATGCAGGCCGGAGTGAGAGCAATAATTCTAGGGACATCATTCATGTTTAAATCTAAATTGTTAACCTACAAAAGCTGTTAAAGTGTCACCTATAGACAACTTTGGGTACCGTAGCTTTTTGCCCTTTCACAGGTGCGTGCAGCTTTGGGGCTTAAAATATTTAGTATCTATTTACTCACTGCAACCTCATTTACATTGTACCATAAAATGGGTATTATATTGTGTCTGTGTGCACTAAAATAAATAAAATAATTTGCGTTTATTTTATGGAAAATATAGATTTGATCAACAGTACTGCAGTTAAATGTTATATAAAAACTGAAGCTGCCACCATTTTACTGTACATAATGTTTGGGGAGAGGGGGTTATGTAATCTTTAGGCCTAGAACGTGCATTTTAAAACGTTGAAAAAAAAAAAAGTCTTAGGCAGCGAAAGGGATGACTCCATGTTTATGCATGTACAGTATATGCACTGCGCACATTTACCTAGCACTTAGAGAACAGTAAACCTGGATTTTTGTCTTACCTGTAAACTCTGTTTCTTAGAGTACATCACAGGACACAGACAGTTAATTTTGAAACCAATTGGTTATGCAGTTACGTTGAGGTGATTGAACACTTGCAAATCAAAGCTGGAAAGACAGCCCTTTATAACCCCTCCAACCCCCTGCCTGCCTCAGTTTTGCAGCTTGCAACTTGAAGCTTTCAGGAGCTTTGGGATGACAACGTCCAAAAGACCTGGAGTCAAACTGAGCACAAGGGACTGCCCTGAAAAAATTCATGCAAAGGAGAACTGTTGGGTGACCCCTGATTGGAAGGTCCCAGCAAGGGAGCAGAGAGATTGGATCTTTTCTGGGGGAAAGAAGACATAGAACAGGGCCAAGTCTAAGACTAAGCCCTTGCACTCCATGCAATGAGAGCGTCAATGTCTGGAAAGTCAGAGCCCATCCAAAGCTCTGCAGGCTTTGTATTGTCTTATGAATGTTGGAGGATAAGGCTTACACTTTCTGAGGAGAAGGTTGTCCAAGTACCCTAATATGGGAATTCCCTGAGACCGAAGCAAAGCCAATACAGGGCCAGCAGCTTGGTGAAGATCCAGGGCACCGTGGACAAGCCGAATAGAAGGGTAACAAAGTGGTAGTGTTGCATGGCCACAGCAAAATGCAGGTAGAGTTGATTAGCAAGAAAAATGGGGATATGCAATTATTCATCCTTGATGTTCACTGATGCCATGAAGTCTTCTGGGGCTCTAGACAGTCTTGTTCAAACATGCGACAGCTGGATGTAAGATCGGAACAGGCTATAAGTAGTTTAGAGAAACTTGCTAGAAGAGTCTTGAGCAGAAAAGTGCAAAAAAACATGTGCTGCTCTCAGGGCAGAGAGAAGGTGTCCATCACCTAAGGCAGAGGTGGGGAACCTCCGGCCCTCCAGCTGCGGCGAAACTACAAATCCCATGATGCATTGGTCTCTGGGAGTCATGCCTGTGGCTGTGAGAATCTTGCAATGCACCACAGCTGGAGCACCGGAGGTTTCCCACCCCTGACCTAAGGACACAAGAAAAAAACTGAGGCAGGCAGGGAGTGGGAGGGGTTATACAAGGCTCAGCATTGATTTCCAGTGTAAAATCAACTGAAAGCATCTGCATAGCCCATTGGTCCCATGATGTTCGATCAAGAAAATATGTTTATAATAGCAAAAATAATTTTTGAGCACAGGATGGAACTAAAGACAGCCTAACACAATCTCAGAAACAGAATATTAAACATCATTGTAAATCCACTACAAACTAAACTGTACTATTTGGATATGCACTGCTCATCCAAGAGGCACATTAAGTACAATTAATAAAACTTTACCCAAGGATAAGGGATAAGGCACTCTATTGTCAGCCATGTGACTGTCATTTTGAAATCTAATTGGACTCCATCTCCATATCCTGGTGTGTTAGCTTTTTGACTTGAGCCTATAATATGGTAAATTTTTCTTATAAGTACAAATACAGGTCTCAAATTACCTGTGCCAGAGTATATCCTCCTGAATCGGCTGACAAGTGAGCTGGCCTTTTACATATGCCTTGGCATCATCAATAAATGAAGAAATGATCTTAAGGGTGCTTCTTGCTTCGTTTATGGAATCCTGGGTGTACTCTACAGCTAAATATCACATTAAAACAGAACACCACAACCGTTGAAAATTTTCTGGTGATATAAAATGTGTTAAGATCACTGTACACATCAGATGCTTTATTAAAAAGGCAAAAGAGCAATAGCCAAGTTTCCAATTTTTCGAAAGGATCTAAGTTTGTTATGTAGACTTGTCATAAAAACAACACTCGAGCGGCTATCGCTGATCTCCTGAAAATGGTAGCGGTCTGTCTGCACTCTGGGATTGACCCACAAAAAACAAGCAGCAAAAAAAATAAATCTGGAAAAAGTATCTATACCTTATCTTTATGCATGTTGTAGGTGAGTGGATAAGGAAGTATTGCAGCCAAAGCATGATTGTAATAGGTCAGGTATGTTTTCTCTTTCAGCAATGGCTGTCCACATAATTATCCTATGACATGTATCCTGTGAACACATGGCAGGGCAAGATTCCACGAATCCAATATCATTTCTTTTCAAGCCAAATATAGCATAGATTGTCATAGAGGGGAAAGGAGTTACCACAATGGGAAGGCAAAATGGTCTTATTTAATAAAAAGGGCAAAAGTTAGACCCTTTGGTAGGTTTATTATGATATAAAAAAAAACTCACAAAAAAAAACTATTTCTACATAACCAATTGGTGTACGTAAAAGTGGCTTTACTGACATGTATATATAAACATGTAAAAGAGATGATCAGAACAGAAGGTATTTGAAGCCAAGGTGACAAACAGTAAAGTAGAATTTCTCAGTGCACAGCTGACTTCCTGTCCAGTAGTGGCTAGTTCACGTTAATGCAATTTATTAGCACTTTTACTAGATAGAGAAGAACTGAAAGCACTGGAAGTTATTAGATAGCCGAGACACAGCAGATACAACACCAGACAGAACCCAGTGTAAACAGGACCTAATCCTTCAGAAGAAAGATGCCAACTGTATATTTGTTGCCCCTGTACAACATGCTGAAATGTATAGATTCTAAAATGGAATTCTCATTATTACTCCTATTACCTAAGGTGTATGTAAACCCAAAATATATTTTTCGGCAGGCATCATGCCTCATTATATATTACAATATTCTGTACATCTTTTGCAAAGTTTCTAACCAATTTATCCTGCAAGTAACAACACTTCCAATCGCAGGCTGACATCGCTAAGCCACTGCCTCATAATTAGTAGCAGTGTTGTCAGCCTGTTGTGGGAACTCCTTTAGTTTGTTGTTGGCATGTCTATTCAATAGGCCTGAGAAGCAGCCCACCAGCCAACTGAAGGCACGGCAGGCTGACAACGCTGCTAATTATGAGGCAGTGGCTTAAGGTGCCCATACACTGCTCGATTCTCGTACGAGAATCGCGGGAAATCCCGCGATCGTACGAGAATCGAACAGTGTGAACGAAGACGTGCGACCGTTTCTACTGTACGGTCGCACGTCTTTTGTCTAAGGAGCATGTTAGAAAACCAGCCGAGAATCGTACGATTTTCGGCTGCTTTGAACGGTGCTCGGGAGACAAATGCCAAATGGGCAGATCGTACCTTTTTTTAATCACTTTACAACCATCGCAAGACTAAGGTCTTGCGATGGTTGTACAGTGTATGGCCACCTTTAGTGATGTTAGCCTGCAAAAGGGAGTGCTGTTACTGACATAATTGGTTAGAAACATTGCAAAAGATTCAGAGCTCATTCAAACTTGTCTGTTCTTATGCAGCACAACTCGTGCATTTTGCTGTATGAAAATGCATTACAAGTAGAAATCCCATTCTTCCCTCTGTGGCTGGTTCACATCTATGCATTGCACTTTAGTGTGAAAGGAAAATAGCTGCATGCGTACAGTACAATGTAAATCCAACTTCAAGAAAAATGGTTTTCGGAAAGAGTATGCAAACCTTAACACTCAACTTTTCTCATTTACTCGCGTTTTACCTGCTAAATATACCTTTGAAAGTGTTTTGTTATATCTGTTTGAAAACCAGAACGAATACCTGTCGATTTTGGTAGGAATCTTGTGAGCTGAGAACTTCCTGTGCTCTCTGCCTGTGCACAAGGAGAGGTGAAGGAAATGAGGAGGGGGAAGAGATGATGAGGTTTGTGTTCTTGGTAATGCATCAGAAATGGAGTAGGCAGCACATTCTCAGGAATTCAGAGCTGTGTTGTCATGTCAAAGAGGAAGGTAAGATCACATCAAATTTCTGGCATATCAACAACTATTTTTCTGTACTTGCATAGTGTTTAAAGGGATACAACATGAGGAAATGCGCATGGATTCCAGAGAAATACTAAATATATATTTTTGGATTTAGAGTTAACATACACTTTAAGAAAACTGTATACTGTGAAGCATGATGGTAAACATACTGAAACATAGATTTAGGGTTTACATACACCTAAACGAAGGTGAATCTATTAAAAAGCCATTTCCTGTGATAAACACAGTCAGCTCACACATACAATTATAAAATCACACAGTTATCAACATCATTACCTGATTTATATTTAGAGCGCAAGCAAAACATGCGGAACTCTTCTGCTGAATAGGATTTCAGGTAATCCTGGAAAGAAAAAAAATACAAAGTTTCACAATCATTTTGTCCTTAAAGAAAAACTCTAGTATAAAAGAATCCATAGCTTCTAGCGGCAAAACAGTTTATATCTCCAATTAACCTTTAACCAATTTTATCTCTTTGAAGTTGGGAGCGCTAGAATTCCTAAACCATAGACCCAGAACAAATGTTTACCAGTGCCTGTCCTGGTTTAGGACAACTGGGAGCCAGTGAGAGGCATGGCCCGTCCGTGTCCTCCCTCCACCTTTCCATTATAAGAACTGATACATGAAACGCCTGAAGGAAAGTTCCCAGCTGTGTAGTATTTGGTTATCATTCAAGTATTCCCTTTAATGTGTTATACATCAGTCCTTTTTCTTTACCAGACTTCAAGCATCATTGATATCGTCACATTACTGCTATTTCCCAACATCTACATCTATTACCAAATTGAAATGCATAGTAAAGGAGAATGATTGGCACAGTCATAAAACAATGTCGTAGCTTTGGATAACTGTACGTTCCTTAGATGGAATTTCCCAGGGACAATTTTTTTTATCTGCCCTTAAGCACGGCATCTTTGGATAAGGGTATACACTATACTCTATTGCAATTTAAGGAAACAATCCTCTGAGGTTTATTTCCACAACTATTTAATATACCAAACAAGAACGCACCTAGATAGTTTTAATGTGACAAAAGAATTGTTATGGCCTTGAAATCTCCAAAGTTATGTTTCCTCGACAAACACACAACATCGTTGCAGCCTGGCAACCAAGGCTGGACTATAACTATCCACAGGGCAGGACCACGGCAGTTGCTCTCTTTACAGTTGCAAACGTAGCTCCCTCCAAAACAATAAAGTCCAGTATGCCAAGAACATGGAGTGGAGTGAACATTCCCTCACTTTTTTCTTTTCTTTTTTGGCTTCCTTTCCATTTACCTCACCCCATTTTTTAATCAGTCCCTCTTCTTTGCCATTATGCCTACACCCCCCAAACCTTTTTCTATCCTGATGCTGTGACAAAGAATCTACATCTGTGGGCTAACCCTATAGACTCCATCCTCCTACTCCCTCCAAGACCTTTACAGCTGTCCTTCTACATAAATAAATATAACCTACAAATTTCATGCATGTCTGAAGGCGATCATACTCCCTTTCAACATGTTCCAGAGCCATAAAATGCACTCTCCGTTTTTCATATAATGCTTAACATAGTTACATAGTATTTGAGGTTGAATAAAGACATTAGTCCATCAAGTCCAACCTATTAGGATAAATACCTTGTGGTGCAGGTTATCCGGACCCACTGCTTTGTTTGCATTGAGCATTTTAATGTGTTTATTTGCCTTGTTCTTTGCTATGCCTAGCATCTGCTTGTATCCCTTTTAATATTTTTGTAAACATTTTTTGTCAAAGAATAAATGCTAAATTAGAAACCGCTGTTTAAGGGAAGGAAAATGTACTAGGAGAGGGTACACACCAGAAGTACTCATGCATTCCACTTTGATATGGTGCTAATCCAGTGAGTTTGTAAAATTACACTTTTACCAAGTCACATGAACATTGTTTAAAAAGAGCCAAAGAGGTGAAAAAAGGAATTGAAGCAGTTAACTTTACTGTTGGATACATTTTTATAGTTAAGACAAAAGGCTCAACTCACTCAGATATAATGTTTATTTGCCATAACAAGTTTCAGGAGCCAATGAGAGCTGAAAATAGCAGTCACATGACGGATATTAACAACAGGTATAACAAATAAAACCATTATACAGTAGCTTAGTGAACTGAGCTCTTTGTGAAATGGTAAAATGAGAGGAAAAAAAGCCAAGCTGACAATTTCAATATAGACATGGCTCCAAGAAGCCTGTACATAAAAGGACAGTGGTATTTGCTCTCTGCACATACTGCTCTAATGACTCTACTCTTCATTGTACTTTCTATTCTAAAATATTTATAAAAACTGTAGAGTACTGAGTGAAGCCTGTGGTGCCCTGCAGTGCTTCCTCCGGTGTAAGTCCTGCCACATGTCCTGCCAAAGTCATGTAACAGCTGTCAATTCATTCAGTGCCCTGAAATGGGTGAACAGCAAAGTGCATTTGTAAAGCACTGCTGTGCTTTATAAATGTGCCAGAGAAAAGTAGCGGTATGACCACAGTTAGATTGGCTTTGTAGTAATTCAGTAAGAAAAGATAAGAAGCTTATGAGACATCCATACATCAAATACATGTCAAATGTCTGTAAGCCTGTATGTATAAGGCAGTGGATCTTAAAGTTCTATGGTCTGAGCTCCTAGAGTTCTATGAATGTCACAGCTGTCAGGACGTATCTGAAAAATCATTGGCTTAATTAACCAAAAAAAAGAATACAGAATCCGGTGACATCCGCTGAAACAGTAATGACAGAGTTCACTGTTCTGCATATAACAGCAATAAAATGGGGGTTTCAAAAAAGTGCACATTCTTATTCCATCTATAAAAAAAAAAAAAAGTTATAAATATGCTAATTTAGATCATATAAATACAGAGGTCTAATAGCCTGGAAGGTCAAGTTGTGTGTTCACTGGACCGTTTTGGCTTTGCATTGAAAAAACTTTTAATGTATCCACAGCTGCAATTTATAAAACTATATTGAAGCTCATTGCAAAAATTCACCAATGCATTTTAATAATGGTGCCGCTACCTGTATTATTGATTTCTACAGTCACATGGATGAGTACTGCTTGAGGTCTACGTTCATGTGAATAAAATCCTATAAATCCAGCTACAGCTCCTGATCAAGCTTGAAACTCCTACTCCCTGCACAATGGCCTCAACTCATGCTGTAAAGGAAGAACTACATTGGAGATTTGTAATCTGATAGATCAAGAATCTCTTACAGATAGAATCATCACTTACTGCTACTACAGAGGATTTTGGGTGATAGTTAGTTTAATAGTAAAAAGTCTCATAAGGTTCAACTTAAAATGGGAAGACTCTCCAAGCAATCTTATAAAAGAGTGACTGTTGATTGATTAATCTTCCTCTCTATTCAAGCCTATAGAGGAGACAAATGAATTGCCAATACTTTCTTAGCAACCGTCGCTTGACTTCTAATCTCTGGTGCAGCAACCCTTGTAAAAACTGTGACAGAATAAAGCAAGCATTTGATTTCAGTGCATGGCTAAGCAGCCGTAGCCCTAAACTGTGGCTCTAAAAAGAATTTCCAAATCGTTTTTAAATGTGAAACTTTCATTAAAATAATATTTAGTGATTCAGCCATGAAAGTCCATGTTCAGGCACATGTTTTGATGTGGTGACAACACTCTAGCCCTGTCTCTCAACTGCTCTCCCACATTGTCTCTCTAACACATGCACTTCCCGTGTAGAATACACTATAAGTGGCTGTGCAGAGGCTTACTGCGCCGGCATGTTCTGCTGTTGTCACCATGAGAAAGCCCATAGGGGAAAATGACATGATGGAAAAAACATGGCAAATGCTTATAAAACATATTGCTTGCACAAACTAGATTCACACCTATACATTGTGTCAATGTAATGTGCGTTGCTGCACTTTGGTGCCATTTATTCTGAATGGCACCCCAACACACCTGCATTGCAGCATACCACAATGCACAGTAACACACTGTGCATTGTGTTTCACTGCATTGCTAAGAATGGTGCATGTCTGTTTGTTTGTCAATTCTGGTGCATTGGCAGCTGATTCGTTTGAATTGGCATCCCTAACATAATGCACATGCATCAATACAATGCACTGGACCCAGGCCAGTGTCAGAAAAAAAATATTGCTTCCTGTTAATAATTAAAAAGGCTAAAAAAAATGTATAACCCTCTGACTGGCTGGCTTCTGGGATGTGTCCAGACGGAAAAAATGTCATGGTTGCTTGTTGTATAGACTGAAGAGCATTTAACAGTCAAAATGGACCATCTGAGATGAAACTATGGACATCATTATTATTTAGCGAATAGGCTGTGATATAATCCAGCCTAGGGAGAGTATGCTCTACTGGTGATGAAAGGCACACAAAGAGATCATCAAGGATATACTTTAGTTACTTGTGAACGCTTACAAATAACACACTCCTCATGACAGAAGCTTGGCACATGAAACCCCATAATGCATTTGTACTGTATAAAGAGATTGTCACCTCAGCGTACCTCTGAATTAAAACCAATTTAAATGCTAGACAAGGCAGCAGGTTTTGTTCCCAGACAGATAACAGAAAAACAATGCACTCTTATATGAATTATTTGTACCTTATGTAGAGTCATTCCCAAACACCACAGTCAAGCATCATAGGAAAGGCTCAGTTATTAGCTGAAAATCAGTATGACCATAATAGAAGGAAGCTCTAATACCAGTGGACACACGTATTACCTTCACTGTGATGTAGTTTTTCAAAGACTTTGACATTTTCTCCTCATTTCCTTTCAGATGTAAATGTCCTAAGAAAAAGAAAAGAATGTCCTCATTTTGTCATTTAGAATAAATCTGAATGAGGAGACTTTACTTAAAAATACCATTAAAATGAGCTGACACACAGGAGCTAGAGAGTAAGTAAAAAACAGAATAAAAGTACAAATGGCCCATAAAGTCACCTTCATAGCGCAAGGGAAGCAAACAAAGAAATACTGTGATAGAAAAAAATTATCAGAGTGCAGAGGAGGGAAGTGGGAATATAAAGAAATCCACATGGGTACATGGCAAGATTTAAAGAAAGCTAGAATATCCTCTGGTGTGTTTAAACATGTATCTATGAGTAATACACACCAGAGAGACAGTGTAGCAGTTTATGAGGAAGTGGTCTATTAATCCACTAGAATGTAGCAGTATCTTGGCAGTAAGAGCAATACCACAAAATGGCTGACTCTGTTTATCATAGCTGACAGGAACAACCTAACCAGCTTTATAAATTCATTCGAATGTAGTACCATCCTGAAAGTATGAGCAATGCCACAGTATTAGTACCTCTGTGTAGCTTACACGACAGGAACAACTTAACCAGCTTTATGAATTCACCAGAATGTAGTACCATCCTGAAAGTATAAGCCATACCACAGTATTAGTACCGCTGTGTAGCTTACATGACAGGAACAACTTAACCAGCTTTATAAATTCATTAGAATGTAGTAACATCCTGAAAGAATAAGCAATGCCAGAGTTAGTACCGCTGTATAGCATAGATGACAAGAACACCTTAACCAGCTTTATGAACTCACTAGAAGGGAGCGACATCATGGAAGTATGTGAGAGATGGAGATAGGAGTTGCTGGACGTAGAGCAATTTCACAGTAAAATTCTAAACTATATTAATGTGTGCAAGGGCTCTGGTGGACCATTTACAGGATTCAGATACGAAGGGGGACTGAGGACTCTTATGTGAAAAGGGGACAGAGGCCTCTGATGTGAAGAGGGGGTCGAGGCCTCTGATGTGAAGAGGGGGCCGAGGCCTCTGATGTGAAGCGGGGGCCGAGGCCTCTGATGTGAAGCGGGGGCCGAGGCCTCTGATGTGAAGCGGGGGCCGAGGCCTCTGATGTGAAGCGGGGGCCGAGGCCTCTGATGTGAAGCGGGGGCCGAGGCCTCTGATGTGAAGCGGGGGCCGAGGCCTCTGATGTGAAGCGGGGGCCGAGGCCTCTGATGTGAAGCGGGGGCCGAGGCCTCTGATGTGAAGCGGGGGCCGAGGCCTCTGATGTGAAGCGGGGGCCGAGGCCTCTGATGTGAAGCGGGGGCCGAGGCCTCTGATGTGAAGCGGGGGCCGAGGCCTCTGATGTGAAGCGGGGGCCGAGGCCTCTGATGTGAAGCGGGGGCCGAGGCCTCTGATGTGAAGCGGGGGCCGAGGCCTCTGATGTGAAGCGGGGGCCGAGGCCTCTGATGTGAAGCGGGGGCCGAGGCCTCTGATGTGAAGCGGGGGCCGAGGCCTCTGATGTGAAGCGGGGGCCGAGGCCTCTGATGTGAAGCGGGGGCCGAGGCCTCTGATGTGAAGCGGGGGCCGAGGCCTCTGATGTGAAGCGGGGGCCGAGGCCTCTGATGTGAAGCGGGGGCCGAGGCCTCTGATGTGAAGCGGGGGCCGAGGCCTCTGATGTGAAGCGGGGGCCGAGGCCTCTGATGTGAAGCGGGGGCCGAGGCCTCTGATGTGAAGCGGGGGCCGAGGCCTCTGATGTGAAGCGGGGGCCGAGGCCTCTGATGTGAAGCGGGGGCCGAGGCCTCTGATGTGAAGCGGGGGCCGAGGCCTCTGATGTGAAGCGGGGGCCGAGGCCTCTGATGTGAAGCGGGGGCCGAGGCCTCTGATGTGAAGCGGGGGCCGAGGCCTCTGATGTGAAGCGGGGGCCGAGGCCTCTGATGTGAAGCGGGGGCCGAGGCCTCTGATGTGAAGCGGGGGCCGAGGCCTCTGATGTGAAGCGGGGGCCGAGGCCTCTGATGTGAAGCGGGGGCCGAGGCCTCTGATGTGAAGCGGGGGCCGAGGCCTCTGATGTGAAGCGGGGGCCGAGGCCTCTGATGTGAAGCGGGGGCCGAGGCCTCTGATGTGAAGCGGGGGCCGAGGCCTCTGATGTGAAGCGGGGGCCGAGGCCTCTGATGTGAAGCGGGGGCCGAGGCCTCTGATGTGAAGCGGGGGCCGAGGCCTCTGATGTGAAGCGGGGGCCGAGGCCTCTGATGTGAAGCGGGGGCCGAGGCCTCTGATGTGAAGCGGGGGCCGAGGCCTCTGATGTGAAGCGGGGGCCGAGGCCTCTGATGTGAAGCGGGGGCCGAGGCCTCTGATGTGAAGCGGGGGCCGAGGCCTCTGATGTGAAGCGGGGGCCGAGGCCTCTGATGTGAAGCGGGGGCCGAGGCCTCTGATGTGAAGCGGGGGCCGAGGCCTCTGATGTGAAGCGGGGGCCGAGGCCTCTGATGTGAAGCGGGGGCCGAGGCCTCTGATGTGAAGCGGGGGCCGAGGCCTCTGATGTGAAGCGGGGGCCGAGGCCTCTGATGTGAAGCGGGGGCCGAGGCCTCTGATGTGAAGCGGGGGCCGAGGCCTCTGATGTGAAGCGGGGGCCGAGGCCTCTGATGTGAAGCGGGGGCCGAGGCCTCTGATGTGAAGCGGGGGCCGAGGCCTCTGATGTGAAGCGGGGGCCGAGGCCTCTGATGTGAAGCGGGGGCCGAGGCCTCTGATGTGAAGCGGGGGCCGAGGCCTCTGATGTGAAGCGGGGGCCGAGGCCTCTGATGTGAAGCGGGGGCCGAGGCCTCTGATGTGAAGCGGGGGCCGAGGCCTCTGATGTGAAGCGGGGGCCGAGGCCTCTGATGTGAAGCGGGGGCCGAGGCCTCTGATGTGAAGCGGGGGCCGAGGCCTCTGATGTGAAGCGGGGGCCGAGGCCTCTGATGTGAAGCGGGGGCCGAGGCCTCTGATGTGAAGCGGGGGCCGAGGCCTCTGATGTGAAGCGGGGGCCGAGGCCTCTGATGTGAAGCGGGGGCCGAGGCCTCTGATGTGAAGCGGGGGCCGAGGCCTCTGATGTGAAGCGGGGGCCGAGGCCTCTGATGTGAAGCGGGGGCCGAGGCCTCTGATGTGAAGCGGGGGCCGAGGCCTCTGATGTGAAGCGGGGGCCGAGGCCTCTGATGTGAAGCGGGGGCCGAGGCCTCTGATGTGAAGCGGGGGCCGAGGCCTCTGATGTGAAGCGGGGGCCGAGGCCTCTGATGTGAAGCGGGGGCCGAGGCCTCTGATGTGAAGCGGGGGCCGAGGCCTCTGATGTGAAGCGGGGGCCGAGGCCTCTGATGTGAAGCGGGGGCCGAGGCCTCTGATGTGAAGCGGGGGCCGAGGCCTCTGATGTGAAGCGGGGGCCGAGGCCTCTGATGTGAAGCGGGGGCCGAGGCCTCTGATGTGAAGCGGGGGCCGAGGCCTCTGATGTGAAGCGGGGGCCGAGGCCTCTGATGTGAAGCGGGGGCCGAGGCCTCTGATGTGAAGCGGGGGCCGAGGCCTCTGATGTGAAGCGGGGGCCGAGGCCTCTGATGTGAAGCGGGGGCCGAGGCCTCTGATGTGAAGCGGGGGCCGAGGCCTCTGATGTGAAGAGGGGACCGAGGCCTCTGATGTGAAGAGGGGACTGAGGCCTCTGTTGTGAAGAGGAGACCGAGGCCTCTGATGTGAAGAGGGAACTGAGGCCTCTGATGTGAAGGGGGAACTGAGGACCCTGATGTGAAGGGGGACCGAGGCCTCTGATTTTCCATCACGTTTTAGAAAAGGGTTGCCCTGAGATTTTTCACATTTTTAAAAGGTGCCATGACTGAAAAAAAGTTGAGAAATGCTGCTCTAGGGGATACTTCAGATGAAATCCAATAGGTACAGGCAAAAGGTGCGCCAGAGCAAAGAGTTGTCATAAAGAGTTCATTTTTTTCATAACACGGCAAAAAAGGACAACCCAGCCCATCTCAGGGGATCTAACAGGCTGCAATCAGCCACTGAAGCCTGTACTTAATGATGAGAATTTAATGTTTGACATTTTTAATGCATTTAAGCTCAAGACCATCCAGATTATATCAATTTAATGCAGATGAAAGGGGGCCCCTTAGAACCACCAAAACGTGTTGGCTTGTCCTTTTGACATTTTAGGTTAAAACAAACTGGTCATCGTCTCTCAGGATTTTGCCTGGGTGTTCCTGTACCTCTTGGGTTATGAACATATGTATGCCACAATATGGCTGCCTCTGTCTGGCAGCTTACAGATGCAAAAGCACTGCACTAGAACACAGTGACATAATACAAGCACGAGTCATGTATGGTACTACAAAATGGCTGTCTCTGTCTAACAGATTACAGGTACAATTCAACCAGCTTTATTAATCCACTAGAGCACGATGGCATAAAAAAAATGGTTGCAATTATGTTCAGAAACTAGTACATTATGAAAACAAAAAGGCAAGTACATTATATTGCACATGAATGCAGCAACCGAATGGAATGTTATTTATAATCAGTTACAACACAAAAAGAATGTACATGTTGCAAATGGCCCCATTCACATCTTTAAGTTTTAAAAATGCATGTGTTTTTGTGAAGATGCAATGGTGTGAAACTGGCAGCGATTGTTAACATCTCTGGATCTATTTGTGTTACATCGCATATTTTTTGCCGTGGGCAAAAGGAAAGGCCAATAAAAACATAACTGATATATGTGTAGCCTGTTCAAATCACCATGCTGCATTGCAGTGCAATATAAAAATGTCCCTGCACACTGTTTTTGAAGTAACACATAAAAAGGTTAAGGAAAGTGTGTTAATGAGCAATAAATGCATGTTAGCACAAACATATGCATTGTTGTGGTGTGTCTCTGAATAGATGTGACATGGCATGTAGTATGTTGTGGCTGTATTACAGCTCTGCACAGATGACAAATGGAAAGGTTTACCCGAGGATGCAGTACACTGTAATACTCTTGTGTGCAAGGTTACCTTTAGCATCATGCCAAGTGCCTGTGTATGT